GGAGCCACCCAGGCGCCCCCTAAATGCAGGTTTTGTCACTGAGCGCTACCACGCAGGTCAAAGCTGATTTCCAGCGGGGCCGGGGCTCTGAGAGGAAGGAAGGGCGGGAGCTTGGGCATCTTGTGCGGGAGGTTTGCTCTCGCTCCTGCGGGCCGTTCCCCACACGTCTGTACAGACAGAGAAGGCTCCCCGGGTGCCCGCGCGGGGCCTCCAGGATTCCGTTGTGTGTTTGGATCACGCAAGGACAATGGAAGGGGCTCCCTTCTTTTGAGTGAGAACAAATGTGAAAACCCTCTGGGCTCTTCCCACTTCCCTGTACTGTTCCCAATTTTAGTGATAACACCCCCCAGATAATCTGGTGTTTCCATACGGGGGTTCAGGTTCACGGACTTTCTGGACTTCAGTTTGGTTTGCCTGTTCTGTGGGGTACTGCTGGGTGAAAACTAAGCAGAGAAAAAGGATTCCTTTTGAATGAAAGACTAACAATCGAATGCAACAAGCAATAGTTTATTTATATTAAAAAAAGGGAAAAGAAAAAAAGAGAACAGAAAAGAAAACCCAACATCTTTTTACTACATTGTATAGATTAAGTAAAAATACCTGTATTCATATATATGTATATACATACTCCATATATATATACACATATACACACATATACACACATGTAATGTAACATTAAAATTACATGCTTCCCAGGACAGAAGAATTAGGACACGTTCCCTCATATCAACTTAATACTCTATCACAATTTAAAATCACTGCAAGGAAACTGGCTTCCTTCATCTTGTTAGACTTCAAGTACATGAAGTTATGGAACCAGGATCTAAATGTGAAAATCATCTACTGTGCACCTGTGACAACGGACTGTCACACGTCACGGGTCAGGGGTGTTCTGAGTTGTCCCACAGGCCTTCCTCACCTACAGCTGTGTCACCTTCTACCTGAGATGCGCGGGAATGAGGCAGGGTGACAGTGTGCAGGTGCCGCGTGGACGCGCACATTGACGTTTAAACAAGAACAACAAAGACATGTCTTTCCGTGAAAACAACACTGGCTGTAAAATGACTCTAGAGGAGGATTCCGTCCTCCCCTTTCCTTGCCAAGTGAAACACAAGAATTACTGGGGGAAAAAAAAACTCAGGGTGAAGCACCTCTGGCGATGATCAGCAGACAGCAAGGGACAGAGAGGGAGCGTCTCCTTCGCGACAGCTCCTGGCTGACCTGGATGGTCTCAAACACACCCTCTTCTGCAAAGGCACTCACATGTTGTCTGTTTATCAGTCATACAGCGGGATTCCACACATAGGAGTCCTTCCTACAAATATCAAAGAGAGAAGCTGAGGACATGGTCTAACAAGGCAAAGAGGGTAACAAATACACATTTTGGATAAATGTGTGCTTTTTTTTTTTCTTTAAAGGACAATCCATACAGTAGTTTAAAAAATTCATTGAAAGTTAGGAATTCCGGTAAAATTATCAGCAAGAAGCAAGGTGCTGGAGATGAGAGTGGATCCAGAACGCAGAGAGGAGGGACACTAGTTTCTCAAATGGCCAAGGGACAGGGTTATGTATGGTCTGCTCTGAAACTAGAAAGACCATTCACATACACTGGAGTGTGTGAGTGGGAGGGAGGTAGTGACAGAGAAATTGGTAAAGCAGGAGGGAGGGTGGCGTCCTTCAGTATGTGGGCACAGGGAGGATGCACCCTGAATTTCCGATGGGAGAGAGGGGCCACGTCCCCCTGGTCTGCAGTCCAAAGACACCCTGCCCAAGCCAAAGGCTGCCCTCACCGGGACACGACGGAGCTAATGGAATTATAGGACGTGCCACTGTTGCAGCTTGAGTCATAGGCCTCCTGGCCATTGCCATCGAGGTTGATCTTGAACACGGAGGACGCCTTCAGTAGAAAGTCCGCCGCGTCCCGACGCCCCAGCTCCCGCAGTTTGGACATGAGGATGCCCACTGTGCTTTCTGGGTAGGAGGCCCATTCCCGGAGCAGGGCGTGGACCGGGCTTGGGAGGAACTCCTTGGGAGCCCCGTTATTGGTGTTGTACTTCGCCACAAGGTCAGGGAGACCCAAGTTCATGGCGAGAAGGCACCAGTCCTTTCCCATGGGATCAGGGGGGTCCAGGAGACGACATAGTTTCCTCCGGGTCAGGAGGTTCAGATCTGAGGCATGGATGTCCATCCCTAGGCTGGCCTGCGAGTACACATCGTGACACCCAAAGCACATGATGCTGCTGAAGCTCTCCTTGTACCCACCCATGGTGTTCGTCAGTGAGGTCTCCTTCAGGGTCTGCGCCCGGAAGAAGTCCCGCGGCTGGTAGATCATGACGGGCTCATGGTGCTCCCGCAGCTGCTGGGGGCTCAGGTAATGCTTCACCGTCAGCAGCCCCGGGAGCGTGGTGGCCATGACGTTCTCCATGGTGCTGCACACGGAGTCCAGCAGGAGGCAGCACTTGATCTTGTCCGTCTCCAGCCCTCGCACCTGTACCTCAATGCCCTGGCCGTGGTTGACGAGAAGCACCAGCAGCTCGGCCCCACGGTTGGCAATCTTGCAGCCGTTCACCCACAGGCGGATGTCTGCGTCGCCCTCGGAGCTCTGCTGGTGGATCCACCGGCAGAGGTTCACCTGGACCTTGTGAAAGATGCCGCACGGGAAGGGGGTGAGGTACTCCACGGGGACAATGCGCACGCCGCCGTAGACCCTCCCCTCGTCCTCCTCGTCCGTCCAGGAGCGGTGGAGGTTGTCTGTCTTGATCAGGGCAGGGATGTCCACCATGGTCCCGCTGCTCATGTCCCGGGCGCAGATGTCCATGGCATCGAGGATCTGCAGCAGCTCCTCTACGTCACTGTCGGGCACCAGGCGCTGGACATCCTCCACGGTGTAGCGGCCCCGGTAGTGGTGCAGGGCCCGTGGGGTCTCCACGGAGAGCAGCTTCCCCAGGACATTGGTGCAGAGCCAGCGGGGGTCCAGGAGTAACACATCCTGGACCGTTTCACTCTGCATGATGTTGATCTGCCAGAAGGGACAACAGGAGGTCACACATGGGGACCGAGATGGCCAGATGCACCAGCTGTTCAGAGCGCTAGAGGACCCGAGCAATGATAAAATCCGCGCACATGTTGCAAAAACTGACCCAGAGCATTGATGTGGACGGATCTCAGAAATCCAACACAGACCCAAAACAGCAGCTTGAGAAGGTTATGAGAGAAACTGAAAAGCCTCCCTTTGACAATTAAAAAAAAAAAGGTCAATGTAATGAATGAAAGACAAAAAAGAGAGAGAGATGGTGGCCAAATGCAATGAGTAAATTTTGACTGGATTCTACATCCCCAAATAAACACACGAATGAATAAAAACAGCTATGAAAGAAATGACTGGGATAAGTGGCAAACACTCAAATGAGGACTACATATTCAACAATACTATTACATCAATGCTATGTTTCTGCAGCATAATTAATTATATTGTGGTAACGTGGGTGACTCCATCCTTAGCCCTCTGTCTTGTTCACGTCCACTCTCAGACGCCTTCAGCTACGTGGTGTCCAGAGACTCCTGGAGATTAATATACGAACCTGACAAACACCCACCAAGGCCAGGAGGGGGGGAAGCTTGCTTTGGCCCTTTGTAAATGTGTCAAAGGTAACAAAGTCTCTTCCCTTCCTCACACACACACGTGGTGCTGCGAGACCTAATTCAATGTTAGACGTCAGTGAGGGGCACGTGGACCCTTTGCTCTCACTGCACTGCCCTTCTGTGCATCCCCCTGCGCTATAAAATCCATACACAACAGTCCAGACTTTGTGGAGAACCGCAGTGCGGTTGGGTCGTTGCCTGCCCCATCTCCCCTGCTCGTAAGCTACCCCGAATAAAAATGTGTAAACTATAAGGAGTCGCCTGCTTCATTTCTCTGATCTCAATTCGGGGACTACTTTACTGTCCCTCCTCCACCCTGTACTAGTGGGAGAGGACCCCACGGCTTAGGAGCTACAGGCTAAATTACTTGGGGGTGAAATGTCATACTTGCAAAATAAATAAATAAATAGAAGAGAGAGAGAGAGAGAAAGCCAATGGAGCAAAGGGTCAGTCAGGGAAGACAGACTGAGACACTGGCCCCACCGGAGACTTCGTGCGGTGAGGGGTCCCGGAGCAGAAACAGGCATCAGGACAACCGGTGACGTGTGCCTATGAGCTTCGTTACCAGCGGTTAGTAACAGGACTGGGGGAGGGGCTGGTGGCCGAGCAGAGCGGGGGCACCTGACAGATTCCCCTTCCTTACTCCTACCATCAGATCATCACTTACTCTTACAATGAAGAATAAAGTGGATTATACCCTTGATCTAGAAATTGCTGGTCAAATACCAGAAGGCAAGAGAATACTGGGCCAATGGAGTGAGTTTATTATTCTGGTTAATCTTAGCTTAGATCCCAGTCCTTGGATTCAGTCACTTTAAAGTACGGCCAGAGGGGCCTGTAGATTACCGGTAGTCTCAGCGGAGTTCAGAGGCTCCTGCTCTCACTGCTTGATGCTCTAGTTTTCAGGGTCACTGGATTCAGTTGTAATGTCAAGCCTATCTGATCCACACAAATGGGCCTCGAGTCAGGGGGGCACTGAGACCGCACAGGAAGCTTCTGTTGTCTAAAAATCTCAGAACTGCCTCTGGGTTTTCATGTTCGGAACTGCTCTTCGTGGCCCGGCCTAGCCTCAACTGTCCCCTGATGTCACAGGACGGAGGAACAGGAAGGCAAGGCCCCCTCTCTGGGGACAGGCAGAGGGGGGAATTAGAACAGCATTCCCAAGCCGCACCCCAGCGCTGAATGCCATACAAGCGGGAGCAAAGATCCCCATTTCTTGGTCATTTCTGGGGACACTGCTTGCTGGGTTGTGGTGTCTCTGGACATCCTCTCGTCACTGCCCTTTCTTGATCATCTGTGAACCTGAAAGTCTGTTTGGAGCACATAACAGCCCATGCCAAGCTGCATCCAGAGGCTGCAGGAATCACAGCTAAGCACCAGGTGCCCCAGGAGAAGAGAAGAGAGGCCCTGTGGCCCCGTGCGGTGGGAACTGTGCTCCCTAACTCATACAAGCTGGAAAACGAACAAATCCGAACACAACCAGGGGACAGCTCTAGGGGGCATGGGGGAGCCGAGAACTGCAGGTCAGAAAATCACCTGGGCCTCTGTGGGATAGCCCCGTGTCTGCATAGATTATGGGTAGTTGGGCACTTTCCACTCCGCCTCTCCAGGCTCAAAGCACCTTCCGAGCAGGGACAGAAACACATCCGTGGGGCCCCTCCCACACCCCCGCCTGGGCTGCAGCCCCCTACCTCGCCAGCACTGTGCAGCTGCTGGGCTATGCGCCTGAGGTCTCCCTCTCTGGCCAGTGGGTTCAGCTGGTCTTGCACGTCGTACACGAACTGCTGCAGCGACATGAGCTGGTTGGGCCCGTTGAGCTTCCTCCAGGAAGGCAGCGTGGACATGATTTTCTCACACAGGTGGGTCATCGGAGGGCACACCTAGAACACGCAGGACAGAACAGGTCAACCTGCGGCCGAGGGTCTCCCTCGGAGAAGCCCAGGTAGAGAGGATGGCGCTCTTTTCTGCATCGTTGCAAGAAATACTCGGGCGAGTTAGTGCTTTTTTGTTGAGCATACTGGGCCGGTTCCTTTTTTTGAAGTGTTGCCTCTCCGGGAAACCCATTTACAAGTGTGAAATGGTATGGATGCTTCCTTTTCTATTGCTAAGAGTTAAACAGTTGGTGAGGCTTTGCAACAATGCTTTTGGAATAGCGACTCAATCATAGTGCTCCTTTAACCCCCAATGCTGTGTTCCCTCCCTCCCTCCCCTGGAGCGACTCTTTCAGCCAGAAGATGGTCACTTTATGAGCAAAGGGAGAGGAAAAGAGATGAACTGTCGTTAGCAATACTGCAGTGGATTTTTTTCAGTAAATTAGGTATTCGTGGGACTGCTGTGGACATACAGTTTAAATTAGCCTAATTCTTGGTAATGGGCTTGAAATAGATTTCTTTAAAAAATTTAAAAAACATCTGTAAAAAATTTTATTTGAGTATAGTTGACACGCAATGTTACGTGAGTTTCAGGGGTGCGACGTGGGGACTGGACCACACAAGTGTAGCGACTTCGGTCACCACACACTAGTACAATACTATTGATTACATTCCCTATGCTGTGTTTTTTATTCCTGTGACTTATTCCTTCCACAGCTGAAAGGCTGTATCTCCCACCCCCTTTCACCATTTTGCCTATCCCCCCATTCCCCTTGAAATAGGTTTTTCATCTTTTAATTTGATTAAATAAATCATTTCGTGACAGACTCCGATAATCCGCACACCATCCTAATTTAAAAACAACACCAGCCATACATGGCTGGTGTTGGTCTGGGAAGGACCCCAGCTCCTCCCCACCAGGGGGCGTCAGGGCCTCTGAAGCTTATTCAACTTAAGATATTTTATTAATAACATTTAGAGACTCAAAGTCAGCTTTTGTGAACATTCTTAAGGAATAATAGAAATGACTCAGCAGAGCCTAATTTAGCTCTTGATGGAGCTTTATAAAGGCGAGCAAAGATAGTATTTGCTTAGAGTGGTTCATGGTCATGTAAGAAGCAGGAAGCAGGGGAAGCCTGTATTTATTCCATACTGCTCTGTACCAGAGGCATCACACATGTCTCTTTTAATCTTCAGAACAACTCCTAGAGGGAAATGTTGTCCTTTTTATAGATAATGAAATTGAAGTTTCTGAACAATTGAGTAACTCACTTCGGGTCACCCTGCTGCTAGGTGGCAGAATTAGAATTTGAGCATAAGGCCTGTCTGGTTGCAAAGTCAAATGCTCTTTTCACCAGTCTGCCTTGTTCGAATAGCTTTCCTATGTGAATGAGATTTATGTCACTTGCCCAGAAGTGATTTCATGGGATTTGGCCATAAAAAAGGAAAGAAAATATAATGAGCATAGGGAAGGCCCCCAAGTTTATTTCCTCTCTTTCTTTGTGTGGAAGATCAGGAAGTGAACTGGTGGATCCCTCACAAATACCTATTTCATACTTAATTATAGGTTTTGTGGGAGCATGTAAAAAATTTATAGGACCTTTGACTTGGAGGTAAACTAGGCCATCTCCCTTACGTCACAGAGGAGGAAACCGGGGTCGATCGCTGCCCACTGGTTTCTGTGATCAGGTTTCTCTGAGCCCCTCCACCCCGGACTACTCCCCACTCACTGACTGTGCCTTACTGGGGCACCCATCAGAAGGCAAAGACTGGGCTTTAGGAAAGTCCAGAGTTTTCCTGAAGATTCCTACAGCACATCTGGAACTGGAGCCTGGTGTTGTGAATGGGGGCATGTCCCAGCTGGGAAGCAGTAAGCTCTAACTGGAGGGGCCACCCGCCACCAGGGGAGGGAAAGACACACGCTCCTCATTCCCACCCAGGCTGGGACAGCAGGAACTTTCCAGGGAGCATTCTGCCCTTGGGATGTTTACCCTTTTGTGTCAGCTCGGGAGAACTTTTCGAGTATTATAGAGTAGCAACCTTTTAGGGGTTAGAGGCACTGAGAATATTTTTTCCAGTCTATTTTACCTTTTAACTTTGTTCGTGGAATTTATTTGCCAGAAAATAAATTTTAGCTTTTATGTTGTCAAATAGATACACTTTCTTTGAAAACTCCTACATTGCCTAAAAGGTTTTCCAAAGCAGTACCAAATTATTTTAAAAACACATTCAAGATACTGTGGTTTTTTCCTTCTTCTTTTTCACATTTAATAGTTTTAATCCACCTAGAATTTCTTTTTGGGATTCGCAGTGAGTAGAACTCAATCTCATTTCATTCTAGACTAATAGCTAGTTGTGTCAGGTCATGGATGAAATAACATTTTCCCCAAAATTGAAATAACATCTTTTTTTTCTATTGAATATTTGTAGATGTTGTGATTTACTTCTACACTCACTTATTCCACTTATTGATTTTTTTTGATTTTGGATTTATTAATTACACAGCCTTTATAATACATTTTATTTAGTCTTCCACTGAAATTTTAAAATAAAAAACCCAACCCAATTGTCTCATTCCCATAAGACGTGTGTTGGAACTATACTAACTCTAAAAGGCGCCCCTCTTTTTTTAAATTTATTTATTTATGGAAGCGCCTGGCTGACTCAGTTGGTTAAGCGGCTACCTTCGGCTCAGGTCATGGGTCCTGGGACCAAGCCCTGCATCAGGCTCCCTGCTCAGCAGGGAGCCTGCTTCTGTCCCTCCCCCCGCTCATGCAAGTGTGCATGCACTCGCGCGCGCTGTCGGTCTTAAATAAATACATAAATAAAATCTTAAAAAAATAAATTTATTTATTTTAGAGAGAGAGAAAGAGAGCACATGCACAAGGGTGGGGGGAGGGACAGAGGGAGAGAATCCTCAAGCGGACCCCGGGATGAGCGTGGAGCCTGATGCGGGGCTAGATCTCATGACCCATGAGATCAAGACCTGAACCGAAACCAAGTTCGGACACTTAACTGACTGAGCCACGCAGATGCTCCTCTGCATTTTCTAAATATTGCACAATAAGTCACTTCTGGGTAGCTTTTGTGATTTGTAAAAGGCCATGTTACTGAAACTGTCAGAATCCCATATGCCCTAAGGTGCCCCCGCGCCCACAGCCCCCCTCATCTCCAGGCCACCTCCTTGTTCTCACCCTTCCTTCCTCCTCCCAGAGCAATGGGACACAAACACGGCCATGCAGCTGCCTCGTCCTGGGGCCCCTGGGGACTGAAACTGACCTGAGGACAGCACGAAGCAGCCGGCTCCAGGGTGACCGGATGGTCTGGGCAAACGTGGGCCTGCAGCCTCCCAGCTCACTCACCGACACAATCTGGCTCCGGATGTCTTGCAGGTGACTTCGAAGGACCTTCATGTCCTTAGAGCCCGAAGCGCCAGCATCCAGAACAAACAGCTTGTTTGAAATGTGAAGATCGTTCCCAAACCTAAGGGAAGAGCAGCGGCCTCCTCAGGGTGCTGTGGTCCTACCAGGTGTCCCCCCCAGATGGCAGCCTCCTGCTGGCCTGAAGCCAGAAAGTTCTCGTGACCTTGCAAAGGCCGCCCCCTCCCCACCGTCTGCTGGCTTCTGTCACGTAACACGGGTGCGAGGGGTAGGGACCCGCACGCTCCAAGTCCCGCGGATGGCAGCAGTGGACAGGTAGGGGCGGCTCCAGTCCCACAAAATGGCAGGGACGCAGAATGGGAAGATTTTAGGTCCCCTGACGCAGGACAGATGAGGCCTGTGCCCTTCCCTTGCACGCTAGGATGGACGCCATTGCAGGGTGATGGCGTAAGAGCAGACAATGGGCCTGACAGCCACAGCTTCGATGGAAAATATTAGTACGAGCCCTCTTTTTCCTATCAGGAGGACCACAGGAAGTGTCTGCAGCCGATCGATCGAGAATTCGCATTACTGGCAGATTACATAGAGCTGCAGCTTCAAAGTTTTTTTGACAGATGCTATGTAAAAATACATATTTCTACACTGTGACCTGTGCGCACGTCCACACTGATCAATGAACCAGAAGTTTCACAGAAATACGTGCCAGGAAAGTCACGCTGGTATTTCTCCCTCCAGGCCTTCCCACTTTCCAGACCAGGTCAGGACCCCCAAGTCATGAGCCCCTAAGGAGCAGCAACTTCGACGGTGAGCAATTCTGCTCAGTGGTAAGAAGACAGTCATCAGACCCGAAGTTAAAGCAACAGAAAGAACTGAGGTCTACATCAACCATGGTGACAACCGTTGATGACACTGTGTTATATGACAGACATTCGCTAAGGGTTGAACTTAAACATTTTGGGGTGAGAAACATTCTCACCAAAAAATAATAAAAGAAATAAGGAGAAAAGGGAGAGAGATGGAAGGTGATGGATGCGATAACTAGCTAAATGGGCGCTGCAGACGTCAAATCACCACGACGTGGACGTTAAGTATCTGATAATGTTACCTGTCAACTAGAGCTGCCTCCAGAAAGTGGAAAGTCAATGCATGAAACCCCTACCAGAAGCTCCCCCTGGGCAGTGGTACCAGGAGGTGAGGAAAGAAGTGCATAGTTTGTTGTTTTTTATCCCGTGCTCTTTACTTCTGTTGCATCTGTTATGTTTTCAATGTTTTGATAAAAATAAAAACGATACCACAAAAGCCAACCAAGCAAAGGAGGCCTCCAATCCCTTCCTCTGGTGTCCGTGAGCTCTGCGGATGGCCCCTGCCACCAGCAACACCCTCACCTGTTCCTGATCTCCTTGAGCAAGGACGTGTCCTTGTCATATCCGAACTCGCCTCCAGCCGGCCGAGGCACGTTCATGATGTCAGCGTGGGTGGCCACCAGGATGACGTGCAGTGGGTTCTTCAGCTTGCCGCCGAAGGCTGGGGGCAGAAAGCAGGCGTGTCACAGGTGGGTCCTCCTTCCTGGCTGCCTCGAGTCCCCGGGGGAGGGGGGCCGTGCTGGCCTCTGGATGTGCAGCCTGCCCACTGTGCGGGCTCACCCCAAGAAGGCCCAGTCCTGGCCAACATCAGGATGAGCCTGTTTCCTGGGTTCAGACCACAGAACACGAGGGAGCTTCTCAGCTCTTCCTCCAAGGGGGCCCTGCTTGCATGGTGAGGGGAAATCGAACTCTGGGCAGGTGCACCCTTTACAAGACAAAGGAAGCCCTCTGAATGCAGCAACACCCAGAAATGGCCGAGCGGATCTCCTGCGGTGCACACAGACAGAGAGCCTCTCCTCAGGGGAGTGTTTAGGAAGAAAACATCAAAAAGAATGAGAAAGAAAGAGGCAGAGTAGAGACACCCTGAGAAGATTAAGTCCAATTATTTGATTATTCTATAATTTTCGAAGAAAAAAATGGATAGCCCAGTGTCCACCATGGAAGGCTGCTCCTTTTTGTTTTGTACACAAAGGAACAAAAGTGTATTCCACGCTGTCTTCTGCTCTAGGAATAAAGTTAAGATAATACATTCACTCAGGATGGTCCCGTCCGCTCTTGACAGAACGACAGAATGGAGGAGGGCTCATTCTGCTTATTCATCACATACCATTAGGTAGAGGCACAGAGGCTATCAAAGGACGAATTCCACTCCCACCCAACCAAAGTGACCCCAGCTCTAACGTGTAGGGAGAGAGTGAGAAACGGTTCCCAAGGAATTGCTCAGACTTGGTCTCTGAGGCAGGAAAATGTGATCCTGTAATAACTCCTTGTGAACAAAGGGAACAGCTGGGCCTCAGGAATCGTCCAGAGTGTGACTCTCATCACAGGAAGGACAGACCAGGGGAGCCTCACTGTTAGTCCGGAGCTGTAGATCCGCTCAGCAGGAAGGGCACTCATGCACCGGGGCATGCTAGCTTACCGATGGGCTCTTCAACTGGCACAAGAGACTTCAGGAAATTCAGCCAGAAGATCACTTGGTTCAACTGGATCTCGTAGGGTTCTTCCAGACTGAAAACAATGACGTGGATGGATGTGGGGTCGTTTGCGGCAAAGTAGTCATAACAGCAGAAGTATACAGGATTTCCAGAGAATTCCCACACGCTGAAATCACCGACTCCTACAGAGAGAAGAAAGATTACCATCTGAAACACCACCAGCAAATGCCAATCACAATTTTTCTTAGCACTTTAGGGACTGCCAAGAGAAAGAGTGCTATCCATAGCATCCACCTGTTTACCTATGCATCTTCAAGACACACACACTCCCCCCTTTCCCCACACAAATGACCCCACACAAGGAAAGAGTCAGAGCCAACTGGTGACTTTGGGTTCCCCATCAACAAACTCACACAGTCAGAGAACGTATGTAATAAGATTCCCTAATCTTCAAATAGGTATAAATTCTTTTTGGAACATGACAGGGGATACAATGTTGAATGTAAAAGTCCCTAAGATATGTAATTTAATTTTGGTTCAATAATGACTACATTCACCTGCCGCAGGTGAGTAAGCGACCTGCTCAGGTAAGTCAGAAGTGAGCAGGCTGTCTGCACAGGTGAAAGATGCAAAAGTTGATTAGCAGTTCTGCATCTGAAGGAGGGGGATGGAACTGTGAGGAGGTGGGGTTCATAAGCTCACCCAGTGTGGGGGGCAGTAGAAGGGTCAAGCAGGGTAGAAGGCTATGTGCCCTAGTGTTGGGGGGCAGTTGCGTCCTCATACCTGAGCAGTGGGTATGGAGGGTTTTCTTGGAGGTGTCTGTGAGTGAGGCTCTGATTATAGTTCCTAAGGCACCTAGAACCTCCCAGTGACCATCCAGACATGTGGGCACCCCCAGCCCTACACGGCCACATTCCAGCAGGACAGTGACCACCCATGCACTGGCCTCTGGGGCAACCACGCAGGACCACTACATAAGTGGTCCTACAACATATGTAGGATTTCAAGTTCCTTTTCACTAATTCTTCCCCTTGGTGCTTATTTGGGTCAGAAATTCTGCAGTCAACAGTTAATTCTGGAAGATCCAAGGACTCTTCTGGAGCTTCCTCTTGGAGCACAGGCACCCCTGGGGACAGGACTCTCTTAAGTCTGGCAGCTGAGGCGTTAGTGGGAAGGGTTCTGGAGCAAAGGCATAGGTCCCCTAGCACGGGGAGAACTGGGAGCACTGGGAGCCAGACTTGGGGCGGGGGAGGGCCTGGGGAGGAGCCGGGTGAGTGAGGGGTGCTGAGGACAGGCTGTACGCCACCTCCACTCCGGGATCTCAGAGAACACTCAGCTTTTAAAAGAGAAATGCCCATGGACTTAAATTCCACTTCACTGGATCCAGTGGTTCTCCTAGTGGGGTTCCCGGACCAACAGGAGCAGCAACACCTGGGAATCCCCCTGACCTGCCGCATCAGCAGCTCTGGGGGCAGGGCGGCAGTCTGTGTCTTCACAAGCCCCGCAGGGGACCCACCTGCACACTGAAGATGAAGAGCCACAGCTCGGGGTGACACACACTGACATCTATTGTTCACGGGGTTCACGGTAATAACAGATTCCTATGTGAAGATGCCCCCGATTGGCATTTTCTGAGCGCCTCCCCTGTGCCAGACACTCTGCCAGGCGCTCGAATCAGCCCATAAGGTCCTCACAGATGGGTCTCAAAGAAATCGCTTTATCCCTGCTCTAAACTTCGCCTCCACAAGGCAGGGGCTGGTGTTCAAGTGCCGTGGGACAACTGGGAACCCCGGGACACAGCGGTTGCTGGAGAAAGTAACCTTCCCTGGTAACATCTGAAGCTTCACCCCCTTGGAAATGTTTGAGGGCAAAGAACACACGTGAAATTTTTGCCTGTGGAGAAAATTGCCCGTGCCTGCAGCATAGCATCAGCCACGAGCGTCGATGTATTCAAGAATAACTCTTCTCATGCTTGCATGAGTGGGATCTGCTAGTGGGATTGTATTTTATGAGGTTTCCAATCCAAGTGTATGATTTGCTCTTCTTAGAAAACGATTTACTCAACAGTCATGTAATAAGCGCCTACTGAGTGCCTGGGGCTTTGCTAGGTGCCCGGGAGGGCAGGGGATTTAGTTTCACTAGTTAGGGGTATTAACCAGCCTGGCTTCACTGGGTCACTCCCAAGGACGCTTTGTGAGGCTCTTCCTCCATCCTTGTGGGGCTGTGACAGGTGCAGGGGGACAGGCTCCCGCAGGGGGATGACTCACAGTCCTGGTGAAGGGAAACGGGAGGTGCTCCCCTGTGGGGTGGGCGGGCTACTGTACCGTTCAGATAAGCGTTCTGGATGTCGATGGCCTTAGTGGACTGGTCGTCAGCTGCGCAGTGCGGGTGCTGGGGTGGGGCCACCAGCACCTCCAGGGTCCCTCGGGTGAGGCCCGGCTCGAACATCATGCTGCGGCTCCTCACGCTCACGTGCTCACAGCCCGGGTACAGGTTGCTGATGCTCACAGACACTGCAGGTGGACGGGAGGTGGTGAGACCAGGGCAGCCTGTGTGCCTGCTCCCCTCCCGCCTGGCCCACGCCCTGTCCCTTCCCGGGACACTCTCGTCCCACCCCTGCTGCTTCGGGCACGGGTGCTGTGTGGCAGTGGGTCAGGGATGTTGCCTTGATTCTTCCTGTCTGCTGCACCTTCCGTAGCCCTTTCCTGCGCTGCTCGGTGCCCCAGAGGCCGACCCTGCATCTCCGGGGCACCCCTGTCACTTGGCATCTGGTTGGGGTCAGCCAGCGGGAGGACCTGGACAGGCTGGGCAGGGGGAAGAGAAGGCTCAGGTACTTCCTCCCTCCTCACTGCTTCTCTGACATCAGTCGTGTGTCCGTGACTCTAGACTCCCCCCGCCCCCCTGCGGGCGGCTTCACCCCTGGGCTCCAGTTTTCTCAAGAACGGGATCTTCCTCTTGTCCCTCCGCCCCAGGGAGGAAATGGCTTCCTTCTGTCCCAGGCCTTGGATGCTTCACCGTCTCTGGGATGTTCCCCTGACTTTTGCCCATGACACTATCCTTCCATTACTGTCCCCACCTGGACCCTGACTGATGCAGACGAAGTGATCCCACTCTGGTCCATGAGATTGTGTCAGGTTGACTGCAAAAGGATTCTACACAGTAGCAGGTCAGCTTGTCCAGGGAGAGCGGACGGGATCTGATAAATGGCAGGCATTCCCGAACCTCACGGAGTTCTCATTAGGACAGAGCTCGTGTTCAGTCTCATAAAAGTAATAATTTCACAGGGAGACCGTGAAATCATAGCGGCAAATCGTGGATTTTGCTGACTGCCGATCCCTAGTGGTGACAAGCGGCAGGCCCGGTGGAGGGGCCACCCCTGCCCCTGAGCTCCTCTCTGGGGACAGTGGGCCACCTCCCCTGCAGCGCTCCCCCTGGACACCCGCTCCCCCTCTGCTCTGGGCATGTCCTTCCTGCTGCAGCCCCACAGTGCACCAGCCACGACCCTCCACTGGCCACAGAGCGCGGATGTGTGTGGCTGCCCGACAAGCAGTGTGGGGGGAACCCCCCCTCCCCCGGGCCCGGAGCGGCTGCACACGGAGGCAGCCAGCGTCCACACGGGCCCCCCGCTCCTGTGTCCTGCCCGGTGGCTCGGCCCTTCCCGTCCTGCATTTTCAGCAGACGACAGCGCCATGGGCCTGTGTCTAAGGCGCACCCACCGCCTGCTGTCGGAGTGATAGAAACGTGCCCCCGGGGGCATCTGTCCTGGGGAAAGGAGCCGGTCCCGGCCATTCTCGCGGGGTTCAGGGGGACCAGAGCTGTGACCTGGGAGGGAGCAGAGCATGACCCACAGGCCCTGGCAGAGCCACAGGGCAGTGACCGTGTGGCTGTGTTTGGAACCAGCCCTCCTTCCCTGGAGGCCACAGCTACCTGATCCATCCTACCCCTCCCAACCCCATCTCCCCGGGGAGGCTCTCATGGCATCTCCTATGCGCCATGGTCTGCCTTCCTGAGGATCGCCTTAATACTGCTCCGCGAGCATCAGGAGGTGACCGGTGAGCCAACTGCTCTGGACTGGCAGGCTCCACATGGTGCTGCCTCCAGCCGGGCGCCCCCTCAGCCCAGGGCATGTGTGCCCCTCGGTGGGCCAGACAAGGACCTGCTACACGGACTGCAGGCACAGCTCCCGGCTCTTCCCCGACCTCAGGCAGGACTACATTTAACTGGGGGTGAGTCCTGTCGCTTCAGGGACTGTTTGGAAGGAGACTCTCCCCGTCCCTTGGAGCAGACCGGCCACCTGGGCATGAAGCCACATGGGCCCCTGTGGGGTTTCCCATCCCTCCCCTGCTTGCCTAGGCCCTCCAAGACCACCGGGCTCTTGGCCTCAGATCTGGGACTGAATTCCACCTCTGGGATAGACTGGGGGTACCTTAGCCCAGGGTCACACACTCCAGTGCATCCCTGAGATGTCATTTCTGTCACAGGACAAAATTTCACACATGGGGTGGGCAGCCTGCTTCTGAGCCCCATGGCCTGGTCTATGGGACTCTGGGTGAGGGGCTGGGGGGGAGAGGGGGTGAAATGCAGAGCCCGTGCCCCTCTGTCCAGGGCAGCCACCCTCCTCCCCACTAACCAGCCTCAGGCAGCAATGTGACCCCAGTGTGGCTGAAGTTTCCCATTTTCCACAAGAAACCCAATACCAACTTTTCAGTGGCATCTTCTGAGGTGTGAATGTCGACTGCTAATCCTCTTTCCTCACCCCCACCCCTACCCCCCTGCACACAACACACAGCCGGCAGCCGCCTGGGCCCTGGGTTTCAGCCTCGGCCTGAGGCAGACACACGTTATGTCTCTGAGCCCCGGGTCACTTCTCTCTGAAGTGGGTTATGACACAACCTCATAACATCGTGAGAATCCAGTGAGATGACACGTGTGCGGGACCCGAACCCAGGTCAGCACAGACCGTGTCAACCACACGCGTTGCCTTCCACGCTTCCTGGCTTCCAGGCTTTACTGCAGTTTCCCCAGAGAGCAGCCACTTTGCCAGCTGGACATCCTTTTGGTGTCCCCTTGGCCTTCTCTTGGGTCTTTCTGGCACTTGTCACTTTCTTTGGTCTTGCGAATCCCCGAGGGGACTTCCTTTTACACAAGTGACCACGGAGAGCAGAGCTGTGCCTCCCGAAAGAACAAGGCCATCTGCTCCCAGGAGAAGGGAGTACAGTTTGCGGGGTTCCCCCTTTGGCTCCTTCTGGCAGCAAAGCCAGCATCCTCGGGTATGCTGGGAGACCAGGAAGATTCTGGAACGGACTCACGTGGGACACGAGAGAGCAGTGTTTACTTCCTAACAGTCCTGTCGGGGAAGCCCGGCCCCACTAACCTGTTATCTTGACAGAAATTTGAGGGTTCAGCCTGGAGACGCAGCTCTGAACCAAGGGTGTCGAGAAAACAAGAGAAGCAGCCTCCCCGGGGGACCCACTGTGTCTCTGTGCTGACTGCAGCTGGGGCGGCTTCTTTGGTCCAGAGCGGACATCGTCTGGACAGAATCTTCTGTCACTGAGTCCCATGACCAAGTCTCCCTAAGCCCTGGCTGAAGCCCCTACACTCGTGACCCTGGCTGATAATCTGGCCTTCCTGAGCCACATTTTATCAAGAATCTACTTCCAGATTCTTCCAGATGTGGAAGATGAATGGAGACATTACTTCTGAGGGGTGAGGGTGGAGCAGGAGATAAAATCTGTCTGTGGCTGGTTCAGTTTAGCTCATGGGTTCCTGGGGCATAATCTTCATAGCCAATGAGGACTTAGAGAAATTCCAGATCAGAGATCTAAGTAGATCTCTTTGTCTCTCTCTCTCTCTCTCTCCCTTTCCCTCCCTCCCCCCACCCCACACACACACTCAGCAACACTGGCCTGGTCCACACACAGAGGCTGAACCTAATCATCAAGTCTGGAAGACTGCTGGCTTCAGAGAAGGTGAAACCCATCTTATACCTCCAAACTGAGCCGAAATTACGGATGACAATGGACACCGTGTGCCTGAAAACGCCCTGACCGCAGATGGAGTTGTAAGCATCGTCACTAAGCACTGGCTTATGAGTGAGACACGTCATGAATTCCCAGCTGGGTGACCCTGGGCAGCCCCCTGGACCCCTCTAGGCACCAGGAAAATGCTGGGGAGATGCCCTCTAGGCTGCTGTGTGGATTCAGGGAGGCATCACACGTACCACATTTTGTCCAGTTCCTGGCACGCTGTGCTCAGAAAGTACTCGCACTATGTGTTAGCAACACCTATGTGTTAGCAACACTGTACTCATACTAATTATAAATCCACTGTGGTTATTTTATCTTTACCTGGTTTCCAGTCCGCTGCTGTTCAGAGAAAAGAAGTTGAACGGGGCACCTAACTCTCAGTCAAGTGTCCCTCAGCCCCAAAGACTGCTCCTCAGACACCCTCCCTCATGGAGACAGGGAATCGCAGAG